AAGAGACTGACCCACACCTTGCTACAGCCTCCTTTCAGGCAGCTGGAGAGAGTGATAAGGTCTCCTCTGAGCCTCCTTCTTTCCTGGATAAACAACCCCAGCTCTCTCAGCCACTTCTCAGCTTCTTCACAGCTGTGTTGCCCTTCTCTGGATATGCTCCAGCCCCTCAATGTCCTTGTTGCAGTGTGGGGCCCCGAACTGGACACAGCACTCGAGGTGTGGCCTCACCAGTGCCAAGTACAGAGGGACAATCACTGCTCTGGCCCTACTGGTTACACTCTTGCTGATACTGGCCAGGATGCCACTGGCCTTGTTGGCCACCTGGGCACACTGCTGGCTCATGTTTATCAGGATGTCCAACAGCATCCCCAGGTCCTTTTCTGTCAGTCAGCTTCCCAGCTACTCTTCCTCCAAGTGTGTAGTGCTGCATGTGCTAGTTGTGACCCTAAAGCAAGACCCAGCACTTTGTGCCTTGTTCAGCTTGATACAACTTTGGCCCATCAATGCAACCTGTCCAGACCCCTTTGCAGAGCCTTCCTGCCCTCCACCAGACCAACACTTCCACCCAACTCGGTGACATCTGGAATATGACTGAGGGTTCACTCAATTTCCTTGTACAGATCATTGATAAAGACATTAAACAGGACTGGCTCCAATACTGAGCCCTGGACACTCCCCCAGTGACTGGTCACCAGTTGGCTTCTATTAAACATCCCTCTCTGGGCCCAGCCATGCAGCCAAGATTTTACCCCACAAACAGTGCACCTGTGCAAGCCACAGGCAGCTCAGCACCTTTGGGTGGATCCCATATAGCCCCAGAGACTTGTGTCTATACAGCCCCAGAGACTTGTGTCTGTCTAAGCGGTGTAGCAGGTCACTGACCATTTCCCCTTGGATCATCTGGGCTTCATTGCTCCTGTCTCCCAGGTCAGGGGCTGGGATCTCAGAGAACAACTGGTCTTACTACTAAAGACTGAGGCAAAAAAGCCATTGAGCACTTCAGCCTTTTCCTCATTCTCTGTTCCTGTGTTTCCCGTCCCATTCAACAAAGGATGGAGAACCTCCATGGCCCTTCCTTCATTTGTCACAAAGGTATTTATTGAAACAGTTTTATTGTCTTTTATGGAGTAGCCAGGTTAAGTTCTAGCTGTGTTTTGGTCCTTCCAATTTCCTCCCTGCAAAAGCTCATGATGTCCTTGTAGTCCTGCTGAGCTGACTGGTCATTCTTCCAAAGGTCATCAGCCCCCTTTTTTTTCCTGAGTTCCAGACAAAGCTCTCCATTCAGCCATCCCAGTCTTTTGGCACATGGGGACAGCCTGCTCCAGTGTCTTTAAAAGTCCCTTCTTGAGGAATATCCAGCTTTCCTGGAATACTTTGACCTTTAGGACTGCCTCCCATGGGACTCTACCAATGAGGCTTCTAAAAAGGACAAAGCCTGCCAAAGCTTTGGGAGCCCAAGACAGCATTTTGCTGAGTTTTCTCCTTAGTTTTCCAAGAATAGAAAACTCTATCATCTAATGGCTGCTGTGCCCAAGACTGCTGCTGACCATTATATCACCTACAGTCCTCCTCTGTTCACAAACAGCAGGTCCAGCAGGGCAGCTCCCCAGCTGGCACACTCACCAGCTGTGTGGGGAAGTTACCTTCCACACAGTCCAGGAACCTCCTTGATTGTTTCCTCTAAGTTGTTTTGCATTTCCAGCAGACATCTGATAAGCTGAAGTCCACCATGAGGACAAACGCCAGAAATGGGGATTTACTGGAGTGCAGAACTAAATGTTAGCTGTTCAAACCTTAAAAAAAAAAAAAAAGAAGAGCTTGCAGAAAAATCAGATGCATGTAAATTTGGCAAAAAAATGTAGATGCTGCTAATATGAAAACTTGCCATTAAGCATCAGGAAATTTCCATCAAGGATGGAAATGCTATCTGAGGAAGGGCAGAGCTGATGCAGAAGAAGAATCGTTAAGGAAACTTTGATGTAGTTGCGCAGATCTTGTGCTTGATATGTTACAAAAATTGTCTGCCCTGTCAGTAAGACTGTCCTCTGAGTAATGAAGGCTTAACTGATTACTGAGAATTTCATGTATGTTTCATGTACCCCATTTTTTGAGTTTTGCAACCTGAGAAGTGTATCTTCATGTTTTCCTAACACCTGATACAAGCTAAGATAGCCAGTGAAGGCAAACTTTCTTCTCCTTTAGTCTCATTAAGGTAAATTAGTAAATTGACAAAATCCAAATGCAGAGCAAGTACTTTCCAAGTTTGAATAATCAAATGAAAAGAAGTAAGAGCTACTCATCATGTGAATGTCATCTCTACTTTCTGAATGTATCTGGGTAATACACAACCAAAAACTTATCACATCCATGGCTAAGGATCCATTTGTCATGCAATTCCAGGCCGCATTCACCAGAAAGTGTCTGGATTTTAGGGATGCCACTTGTTTTACTCTCAAATCATTCCATACTCCAGATCTGAACAAGGAATTTATATTTTCTTGTGCTGTGCTCTCCAGCTTTTGACAGGTAACAATTCTTGGGCGTGACTATACTCAATTATCACATACCCAGAGAATAGACAGAATTTGGTAGCTACTGCTCAGCAGAGCTGCAGATGTATGTCCCAGAGACCAAGTGCTCAGGGGCTGCTCTGGTTTAATGAGTTCATTTTGCTATTCTGCTCTACCACCCTTCTTAACATCACACAATCAGTTTGAGGTCGCCACTGGGAATCGCTTGAAAAATAGTATTTCCTGTCTTATTTAAAACCTGAGTCCTGTAATTTGGTGGGTTTATAGTACAGCTATGACACAAGAGTCAGATCATGGGTGAGATGCCACTGATAGATGAAAATCAGAGTGAAGAAAGAGACTGCTTAAACACACATTGCAAGGCATGGGTTAAACCCTGGAACTAGAGATGCAACCTGACATGAATTTTTAACTCATCATGTGGTTGATCACTCTCTCCCATGCAGTCAAATGCTACACATGTTGATGAACCTTTGGGTCTCTTCCAACTCAGAAGTGTGTTGTGTTATATTTCTGTGTGTAGTGCTATATTTCTGTGTGTTGTGCTTATATTTCATAGAAACGTGAAACTTGCTAATCATACTTTACCAAACTACACAGCTGAAATGAACACATTAGTAGCCACTCTGGCATCAAAAGTAGCCTTGGAGGAAACCAAAACTCAAGTCTGTCTTTGAAGGTTACTGTCTCTGACAACCATCATTGCCCTGGTGAATACCTTTTATTCATACAGCACAGCTGGATGGACTAACTGCACATCCCAAGTGTTGAATTATGGTTTTCAGTGTCTCGGGCCCTTGGGAATTCTCTGAGAATTTGATCAGTGAAACTAAAGACAAAATAAATCCTTAAGTGTGAATAAATTTATGAGGTGTAATTGGAAAGGCAGCTACTTGCAATGCTCAGAAGCCAGTGCCCTCCTGACTTGTTTCTTTCCCTTAGAAACATAATTTCTGCACCTTAGACTACAACAATACACAGTAGCTTCAGATGTAGCCTGGGATACAACAGCTTGGATTCTGTCCATTCTACAACAAGAAGCAAGAGTCTCAAAATGCTCATGAGTAAAATACTTGCATTAATATCATTTGATGAAGGCCTTCAGATTTGCCAATAAAAGCGCTCAAGCTGTGGAAATTGTTTCAGCTGAGAATGTATCAGGGCAAAACTATCAGACTCATCTTGGACTTCTTCCTGCTCACAGCCACTGCTGTAAGAAAAGGTCAAACTACATGGGTCTCTGGAATGAAGCAGCCTTTTCAAGTCTTAAGCTCTCATTCACCACATCTTAGTACCAATGGAATTAAGTGCCAAAACTCTAGCAGGGCCAACCTACCCTAAGATGTAAAGGAAAGATTCAGACATGTGAGCATCTAATTTATATTCCCCAAGGTATTACTTAGTCCCACAGCAGTTAAGACATCCTTCCCGTTTCTCATCCAAGGGCACAGATGATTCCTCTAGTCCAGCTGGCTTTAGCTTTGAACCACCCTGATGTCCAAGTGTTATGCCTCTGCTGCCATACAAAAATAAGGAATGCACCTCCTGCAGAGGATTTTGCAGGGAATATCCTCAAGATTAGACTGGTGAAGAGCTGCTTTGAAATAAAAGGATTTCTCTGCAAAACAGGAAGATGCTTTCAGGACTTTGGAACAGCATTCACTTTTAACTTTCTGCTTGCATGTTTGAACTGCAAAATGAGACATCTTTTCTATATTACGTGATTTGTAAGCAAATAAAGAAGAATACATGCCAGGAAGTAGAAATGGACTAAGCTATTCCGGACAAAGAATGTTTATGCCCACACAAAGCTTCATCCAATGTCTCGAAAAAAACATGATTAACAGTACTGTGCTGATCTTAATCAGATTTATTAAGACAAATGCTGAAAATCCAGCGTGCATGTTGTGTGTGGGTAACTAAAGGAAAAAAAAAAAAAGGCCAGATAAAAATGCCCAGAGGGAGTGAGCTAATGACTATCTTCCCATTACCTCATGGGATCATTAGGTCGACATGATCTCTCCGCGGCCAGCACCGGAGCCACTTCCCCGCCGGGACGGAGGCCAGCGGCCTTTCCCTTCGCCGGCCGTCCCCCCGCACAGGTGCACCCTCAGCGGAGGCGCGACCCGCCGCCATGTCGGGGCGGGCACGGCGGGACAGCCACCTCGGCTCCCGCCCTGCCCCCTCCCCGGGGGGCTGCTGGGCAAGGCGGCATTGTTGGCCGCGTCCATCACTCCTCGTCCCCGGCTGACATAATGAATGCGCTTGGACACACCTTCCAGCCCGGCGGAGAGGCGCCGCGTCTCCACGGACAGCCTCACCGAGCCCTCCGCTCCGCTCCCCGCAGCCCTCGGGGAGGCGCCCCGCCAGCCCGCCCGGCCCCATAGCCCGGCGCCCCGTCCCAGCCCAGTGAGGGGCCGCGGCGGCCGGGCCGGGCTGGGCAGGGCGAGGAGGGTACAAAGTCTCGCTATGCTGCCCAGCGCCCTTTACTGGGACCTGGTGGGCTCCTCGGCTCTCCTCAACCTGCCGGCAGCGCCGGGCTTCGGCAACCTTGGCAAAAGTTTCCTCATCGAGAACTTGCTGCGGGCCGGGGCTCCGAGCCCTGCCCAGCTCCGTCCCCTCCCCGCCAACCCCGTGCCCCTCAAGCTGTGCCCCGCGGCGGAACAAATCAACCCCTCAGGGGGTCCATTCCCGGCAAGATGGGCTTTCCAAGTGCTTAACCCCTCGGCGGCGGACGGCGGCCGCCCGCCAGCGCGGGCCGCGGCGGCGGAGAGAGGCGGCATCTTCCCGCCGGCAGCCACAGGTGAGCGCCGGCCCCTCCCGCGTCCTGCCGCCGGGGAGACGGGAGCGGGAGCGAGGGGCTTGCCGAGGGCTCGGCCCCGCGCTCCGCACGGCGGAGACGGCGGCAGGAGAGGCGCGGCCGCTCCGAGGAGCCCGCAGGCGGCGGCGGGACGCCGAGCCCCGGTGGGTGCCGTGCCGCCGGGGTGCGGCGGGGGCTGCGCCCGGGGCTCCGGCCGAGGGTCTCGCCCTACCGCTGGCAACGGGACGCTTAGAGCAGGTGGTGCGGGCGGCCGGCGCACCTGTGGGTGTAGAGAGCACAGCAGAGTCCCGCGATGGCCGCGTCGGGTGCTGTTAAACGCCCCTAATCGCAGTTCTTTCAGGTCTTGACGTCCCGCAGACTCCAGAGGTGGTAGAAGCTTCGCCGCCAACAGGCGCTCCGGGAAAGTCTGAAATTCCAAGTTTTGGGAGGAAGGCGAGCGGTCCCATTTCCTAGGTAGCGATAGCTCGGGAGTCAGCAGCCCATTTCTCTACACGCCCTGCTTTGCGGGACAGCAAGGCGTGGAGGACCCGGCTCCTCCTGCCAAAAGGAGGATTAAGCCACGTAGAACAGGCAGTTTTCTGGAAGTTTTGACAAAACCAGGGACGGGGGGAAAATAAAAAAGTTTTAAAGAGGTGTAAAGGTGCGTTATCAGCCCGGTGTCACACTGAGAGCCAGCGCCCTGTCGGGCGGTGGGGACCAGCTCGCGGCCGCCGGGGGCCCGCAGGAATCCGTGCCGTAGGATTGGAAACAAACAGGTTTACAAAACCCATCCAGTTTCTTGAATGTGCCGATTTTCGTATAGATACATTTTGTCTGGGCACGAGCAACATACTTTAAGAAACGTGTACTTCTGTTAGTCATGGAACTGATTGTAGTCAATTCATTAAATTTGGTATTAGACTTGCTATCTATATAGTATTTTGCTTTTCTCTTAGAATGCATAAATTATTCCAATATTATGCGGTATTTTAAGAATTTTTATTTATGATAGTACAGTTTTAAATGCGTTTAAAATGAAAATCAGACAAGCAGAATTGTATTTATTTAATTAAGTCTTTGCGATGTGAAACGAAAAGGTTTGTTTTGAAAACAGAAGTAATTGTTTTCTTTTCAAACATAATTTAATTTCAATTAGATTCTGCAAACTGTTCTTCAAATTTCAAAGTAGTATTTAATCCTTTAGCATTATGTACTTTAGAGGTAGGCAGGAGAGAGTCACGGTGTACATTAAGGTTTCTGAATGCTCCTGACCTCTCAGGTAAGTGTCACCTTAAGCATATCAGTTACTTAAACGTGTTTAACTAACTATAGGCTAGGCCAGGGAACAGGACAAGTATCATCTTCCTGCAATTTGATGAATATTATCCCTGCCTGCCCTTTGCCCTTACCCTGAAAAAAAGTTCTAGAGAAAATGCTATATTTATTTGTGGAGAGAAGATAGCAGATGCCCCAGCACTCTTATTTGCTAGAGGTAAAGGTATTTTGTTGGGTTTTATTTGTTGTTGTTAGTTTGTTTGACTGGGTTTTTGTTTGTTTGTTTTAAAAAGCTGTGGGTAAATTGCTGCAGAAGTTCCCGAATGCCAAGTTTTGCAAATGCTTGTTTCCAGAATTATTTCTTCTTTTGATTGACCTATAGCAGTAGTTGTGATTTTAGTATGTTAGGTCTGCCTAGCGATTTGGAGTCTAGACCTATGCTTCTTCTCATTCCACAGCTCCCACAGATCTTGGCAAAAGCACCAGGCTCTTAGATTTGAGCAAGGAGAAATACTGGTGTTTCCTCATTCATCTTGCACCCAGAAGAAAATTCTCCTGTGACTGTACACTTGCGACAGTGACTTTTATATTCCAACAGGGATATGTTGATTCTGATCTCACTTGTATGTCTTAAAGTGATGAGGATGCTTAGTTGTCTCAACATTCATAAATTTGAGTTAGATTGGAACTGTCTTGCTGAGCCAGTTTGTGGTTTCTAAGGAGTCTCTTTTCTCTAGTGTAGGCGTATAGTGAGGAAACTGTTCAGACCAGACACTGCATTTGTGAGTAGGGCTGGGGTGGTCAGGCTGCGTGTAATGTTTCTTGTTTATACAGTGGTAGGGCAAAGGAGCATTTTGGCAGAACAAAAATTTTAGCCTTCAGGGACTAATGAAGATATTTTGACTAAGGAAGTTGTGCTAGGTAGGGTTTTTTAATTTACTGATTTTTTTTTTTTTTAAGAATAAGCTCATATTTGGAACCCCAAAATCACATGGCATTTTGGGAAATCTTTCTCGAAGTCTTTAAAAAGATTATTGAAAATGATAATGCAAGCTTTTTTTTTTTTTCAAGAAATCTTTCTGAACTAACAAGTGCTTTATAGATCATGCAGGGACTGAAAGTTCCCTAATAAACTAGCTTCGCATAAGCCAAGTTTTCTTTTATTTTTTTAATTAAAAAAAAAAACATAAAGGAAATTGAAAAAGTACCAGACTTTGGAAACAGTATATTACTCATGTTGTCCCAAATTCTGGTGAGGTCACCAAAAGTTCTCAAAAAGAAGGGAGTATAAAATCGCACCAGAGACTTAACTGAATAAGCTGAACCTTTTTATATGTATCCACAGTACCTACAAAGGGAAGACTTGAAGAAAGCACTCCATTTTAGGGTACCTTTTAACATAAAAGTGCTAACGAATGTAAATCCTGTATTCTTTCTGTAAATTGGAAAACACTTATCCATGGTGGCAAAAGAGACCAGATGGGTTGGCATTCTTGAGCTGGGCTATCTCATCATGGTAATTTCTCCTTTTGTAACTCCTCAGCAACTGAGTTGTATCAGCAAGTTTCCTACCCAAAATTTACAGGTTTCAAAGTATTAGTTGGACTATTTCAAGTGCTTATCTGCATGTGTATTTTACATGCATCTCCTACAAAATTATTGCAAATAAAAAAGTGAACAAGAACTCAGGAAGTGTCACACCCTAAATATTACATCATCTAATGAGCATAGTAGAAATAAATATATTTGCTGTCTGTAAAGGTTTAAATAATCACTTTCCATCACTATATACATGTAAAATTAAATGTAATCATTGTAGGTATTTGAAATTAGTTTGGTTTAATTTAAGAAGAACATGAGCAAAGAGTATGTTACATAAAACTTAGGAAAGAAAAAAAGAAGGAGCATTACTGCTATATGATAAACTCATGAGCCTTCTGCAGTGGTATACCAATTTATACTGGCTTGGGATTACCACAGGCTTTCTTGCACTTCTTCTGAAGCCCCTTTGCTCTGTGCTGTCCTCAATTTCCTCTTGCTAATCTGGGTTTTAGTCCCTTGACTCCAAGCCTATTGTTATATTCTGGATAAATTAGAAGACTTGACAGTTTTCTTCAGTGTTTTCTGACACATAAAAATCAGACGTGAGGATGCTGAGATGCTGTGTCTTGTAGCACAGGTGCTGTAAAGAGGTCCACTTCAAATATTTTCTCAGACTTAGTTTCATGACTCAGAATTATTGGCTGGCACTAGAGCTGAGTGACCTCCTTGGGAAATGTGAAGTTACTCTGCTACCTGAAATAATTTTTCTAAATATCTCTGCTCTTCTTAAGTAATTTGTCCAGGAGGAGGTTGACAGGAAGTGCTGTACAGTGTGAACATGGTCATGTGGCAAGAATGTGGCTTTCTGCTTTAATTTTGGCATTTTTGTAGATGAACAGAGAAAGGAAATTGAAAACTGCAGCAAAACAAACAGTGAGATGATTCCATTGTAAAACCTGCTGAGAAATTTATCTTAGGGGATTTTTGACTAAAGCATCAGAATACAAGAGAGCAGAATGAAGGACAGCAAGCATAACAAAGAAGAAAACAGAAGAACTGTAGAGCAAATATAAATTGGACTTAGAGTAAGCATCTATAGATGTACTTAATACATATCCAGATACATTTGTGCTATCGATGTCTTTTCTTTCTGTAACATTTGGGTACTTTACATTTTGATGCAGTTATCATCACATTGAGCCAGTGAGATAGGAGAGATTTCTGTTGTGTAGAGGAGAAGCTGGAGCAAAACCAAATGAGGTGACTTACCTGACATAATACAGATAACTGGTAGCATTGCAAGGAGATTAAACCAAATCTTCTGCAGGCTAAGTCTCTGGAAAATGATGTCAATTTTTTCCTTCTCAGGTGATGACACCAATTCTATCCTGAATCAAACATATCTTATTTCTCATATTTAATAAAGTGTCTTGTGTTTCTTTATGACAACCAGGAGGCAATTAAATGACTGAAATTTAAGTGATATTTTTTCATTTTGGACCTCTTCTTAGTGAATTAATGCTTATTAATTATTGATTTCAAGCCAACTGGCAGCCAGGGTGTGTCCTCAAGCGACATGTAACACTAGCTTTCAGTAAAATAAAACACAGGAAAGAGCCCAATGTTTTGTCTTGACTCATCTAACTCAGGCAAGTTGACTGACAAGTCTTAGGATTTTCTTGTTTTGTTGGTGTTTTCTGGAGATAGAAAGTTTCTTTAAGGTGGGGAGATCTATTTGGCATCTTTTCTTATTCCCTGATTGCTAGGAGCACTGAGACACTGTGATTGTTTTGAAAGTTTGTCTTTGGAAGCAAAGGAGTTTTTGTAAGTATTAGAAATCACAGACTAGCACGTTTCCTGTTTCCAGTTAACTTTGTGAGCCATTTAATAGAATTGGTCTGGAATGCCCAGCATATTTTAAGAGTGGCTGCAAAATGGCTTTTAAAGGACAAACTGTTGTCCTCATTGTGAGGTTGCCAGAGCTAGACTAGTGCCAGCTACTCTGCGACCCAGCCGCTAGTCTGGCAGTCTGTGCTCGGTGAGGAGTACGAGCATTGGCTGGACACCGCTCCTTCCTTTGGCTGCTTTCGCGGTGCCGGCTCTTGGAAGGAAGAGGATCCCAAGTTTGGTCCTTGGCAAGATTTAGATACTACCAGAAGATCTCAGAGCTGCACTAGGAAGACAAG